CAATCTCTACAATCTCGAAGCTCTTGCATAGTATGTTCGTCATCTGCATTGCCCCCATATTCCTTAATACTCCATCTAGAAAGGTTCCGCATGATACCTTCCAAAGTAATGGCCGGAAGGCACCAACGATAGACACCCCTGAGTTTTGGGGAGATGGGGAAGCCTTCCTCCAGGAGTGTTCTTGAGTAATAGTCGAATGAATGCCGCATTTGAACTGCCTCTAACTCTGGTAAGTGTTGGAATGGTCGTAATAGTGAAAATGCTGTATCATAGAATGTGATAAATGGTGCATCGTTACCGTCGCGGTGAGCCCTTCGAGATTGTAGAGATTGCTGGAAGATGATTCGTTTGATTCGAGACTTGACCTGAGGTTCTGTGAGGATTTTGTACGCCTCCGTGGATGTGACGTCGGTTACCTCTGTCATAGAGGGTGTCTCGACGAATGGCAATTCAATGATGATGGTCAAAGGGAGTGATCCAGAAAAGTACAGCCCAGCGGTGAGTCGATAGAGGACATCTGGATCTCCATCTACTAATATGGTACTCCACAATGAAGGTACGTTGAGAAGTTTAGTCCACCAGGACTTGCTCACAAGCAGCAAGTGATAGACACCTTGCGACGCGTTATAGTAACCATTGCCACCGCCGCTACTTCCATTCACCGCGATCTCGTCTGCCAATACAAGATTTAGACACTCGATCCAGATCTCGGTTGGAAGCACTTCCAAAGGGTCCGAATAGCGCCGTCCACACTCGCGTTGGAGAATGGCACGCTGATTGATGAACTCATTATACTGATTATGGAGTTCCACAATTGATGATCTGGTAGGTTTGGGGGTAGATTCGGTGGATTGAGCGTCGATATTTGTATTTCCATCACTTTCTTGCACGCCTGGAGCTTCTGCGACGGCGGACTGTTGTCGGCAATCGCGAATTTGTCTAAGTATATGCAAACGTTTAACCTCTAGCTTCCTCAGCTCGACACTCTTATCGAGTTTCATGTGGAGCACTGAGTATCAATTGTTCGGGCCCAGAAATTGAATGACGTGGGAGAGAAGAAATAGAGAAAAGTGGTGATTGAGGCGAATTCAGGTTAATAAAGTTGTTGTATACTGGGCAATGCTGATGATGAGATTGTCAGCACGCGTGTCTCTGGCTCTGGAAGAAGTTATGGACAGCGCTTGATCTATTTCTTAGACTGAACCAGCAAACATAGCATCAAGGACCACAATGGAGACATGCTGGATTTATTAATACAAATATTCAACTTTACCCATGAAGCTATTTACGACCCCGTTTTCGTAGTTTGGAAGCCCATCAAGGACGTCAGACCGCTCGCTTTCCTGCACAAAGGATGATGCTCTTGCAACCCAAGCGGGCCCAGCTACACAACTCGGACTTGCATTGAGAGCATCTAGTATACGATATATCTGTGAATGTGATAATCTTGTTTAGATTCTCTTCGC